GTTGGAACTGAATGATCTTTAAGGTCCCTTCCAACCCAAACCATTCTGTGATTCCATGACATACCTGCCATACAAGGAAGGCAGCCCATCACATGCCTGAGCTGGAAATGCCAAGATGAACTTCTTTGTACTGTAATGCTAGATTGTAGAACCTGCTAGACACCAGGTAAGTGTTACTAATTTGCTAGGAATTAGGCACGCCAAAGGAGGAGAGTGGTGCAAGACTGTTGGGGGCACTGTTGGTTTATTCCACGTGCTGCGTTTTGCCAGATGCTAACTTGAATTTCCAACACCATGATAATATGCTTTGATTCTTTTCTCACCTCTTTTTTGATGGGCCATGCTAGTGCCCAGAATACAACTCCTGACCATTGCCAGCACGGCTGGTAGCCCTCTGAGGGGACCAAGACCAGAATGTGGAAACACCTCCCCACTCCTGTCTCGTTGGATGAGAACCCCAGTGTATTGATGGCTAGGGGACTAGCTGTGACAGTAAACCATTGGTCTGTCTGTCCAGTGGTAACAAAGATACAGTATCTTCCAAAAGACCCCCCACCATTGCTGTATTATTTATAGATTGTTGAACAGCCACTGGCAAAACCAGAGCTATGCAGGTATGTGAGCTTAGCTGTAGCATGACAGGCATACAAAAAAATCAGCTCTTTCAAGATCACTCATTCTCATATTGGTTTTTTAAGCCTAAAGTCCGGACTGGAATAAGTAAACCTTACAACGTCAAGCAGATCAAAACCACCACAGCTGAGGAAGCAGAAGAAGCTATTAGATGTCTCATGGAAGCTAAAGGAGGTGAGCACAGAAATCTTTATTTAAAGAAAACTGCAGGTGTATTCACCCATTCCATCATAGCCCAGAAGCACACATTTCTATTCAGAAACTCACCTGAACACTGACATACACCTTCTTGCAAGGTTGCTCTTGGTATTCTCTGACAGTTTTGATAACACTGACCTTCATTTCCAAGATGACTCATGTTGTATATTTCATTTTAGAACCTGTTACTAAGAGCACCTTGGGTTATTTATTTCCAGATTTAGTCTGAAAATTAAAAGATAAAGATGGAATCTTACTAGATCGATGGTACCTCTGTTAGCTCAGGGTTGCATAAAGAGTATTTGCTGTTCTGTTTGGTGAATGCTCACTACTCCAAGCAGAACTAAAAAGCAAATACAGCGGTGGAAGAAATAACCTGGATTCTGTTCATATTTGGGCAGCAAGTATAGTTGTAACCTACACAGAATCTTGCACTACTTTAGCTTGAACAGCTGAGCTAAAAAAACACTCTCTGTTTAGACTGTCTAATCCCTGGAGAAGAGCTTCTTGCAAGAACAGGTTAGAACAGGAAACTAGCTCAGCTATTGAAACTTAGGTGGTTTTGAATGTACCCTCTAGGGCTGCAAGTTGTCTTTCTGCTGATGCTATATGAATGAGAAGGAATGCAGCATGACTCTGAGATAGCTACCTGAGGTTGCAAGGCTCTCAGTTTAGAAAGAAAATGTCCCTTTTCATGTGTAAATGGAGCAAACACAGTCTGGAATAATCCAGTTTAATCAGAAATATCATAAAGGCATCTTGATGTTTGTTCCTCAGAGAGTGCTGCTCATTTGGCTTTGAAATCGCATTTACTCTCCATTGATTCTGAAATTCACATTAAGCATTTCACTCAGGAAGCTTGTTCTGTCAGCATCACTTTCAGTCCCTTGTGCTGTACCACCAGTTGGCATTTACAGTTCTTCCCAAAGTACAAGATGTGCTTAGCAGCATTACCTTGATTTTCCAGATAAAGAAACCAAGGCAAAAGGAGACTCAGGACTTGAGCCAGTACTCCTGACCCCCAGCCAGTGTGTTTTCCACTTGGCCAAATGGTGGCACAGCACTGCTGGGTTGGCATGAAATTATTTCAGGCAGGGGAGTATTTCCCTAACTGCCTCCTACAGATGTGACAGGATCGCAGAGGTATGGGTTTATTTCTAGAACATGCCTTCCTGGCCTGAGCCAGCCCTTTAGGCATGCACTTTTTAGGAAACATGACCATGAAAGATATTACCTTGAAGCTACATTCTGATCAGGCCAAGACACTATTTGGTTTTGTTTTTCAGGACTACAAGAAGATGCAGTAAAGCCTGCTCCAACTAAAAACCAGTCCTTCACCAAAGCTGAGCCTCTTCCCAGCTTGACAAAGTCAGCATCATTTCAAGGGTCACATGCAGGACCAGTGCTTGTGCCCCATCGCCCACCACCCAAAGTTCCAACTACGAAGAAGCCAGTACCACTGCAAAGGACTGGAGTTAAGGTGGAAAATGTAAGATACTTGCAGCAAAATGCATCCAGCTTCCATTACACGATGTGAATGACGGTAGGAGGGTTGGCCTGTTACAGTTTTATGTATGAAGTCCTGTCATTTGAAGTTCTTAGCCAGCAGGCACTGAAACGATTTTGTGTATTGTAGTTCACCAAGGCATAAAAATGTAAGAAAGATCAGAAAGAGAAGAGAGCTGTGAGTTCCTTACTTGGTCGTATTCAGCTTTTCTACTTCTCAGTCCATTCCTTTAGATTTTGTTGCTTTTCTTCTGGTTTGGCTAAAGCTTCTCAGGATTTAAGACTCATCCCTTCTTTATCACAGCGTTTACTTCTGACCGTATCATGAGTGGTCTGCTCCGTAATGATTTAAGGCAGCTTCATCATCAGTATGCTGTTCTGTATCCTGTTCAGAGACATCTAACTTTGCTCACGCACCTTGTAATGGGATTCAGCCTTTCACTTTTAATTCTGGATTCTACTCAAGAGTTCTTAAAAATGCAAGCCTGGAGGTCCTTGTCAGGTCTCTACAATAGAGATAATAGTTCTTCACCTCTAGAGCTGCTAAAATGATTATTTAATGGTGAAAGAAATTTAAGTACAAAAGAAAGACAAATAGAATGTTTTATACTCTTCCTTTGACAGAACATCTGCTAGGAAGCTCTATTCTAAGTTGCTGGGACTCCTGCCTTGCCTTTCATTGTAAAGGCATTCATCCTTTCCCTATCATGGACTTTGTGCTGTCTCTACTTTGCACATTCACAGAAGAAAAAAACCCTGAACAGGCAGTGCGTGCCCTTTTCTTAAACACTCAGTAACAAGGAATGGTCTGTTTGTGTTGGTACCATTCCCAAGGTGCTCCCGAAAGGCGCTCAGAGGGTTTGCTGTTTTAGTGTTAGTTACATGAGCTGTCCTGCAGGATCTATCTATTTCAGTTTGACTCTGCTTCAGACTTCCACTCCTTCCTCCGAGTGAGTTCAGATGGGAGTTGTGGACTTGAAAACCTCTACCCAATGCAGTTCTATCGTTAAGAAAGCATGCAAGCAAATGTAGGCCACTTACCAACAACATGTAGACAGAAGTGGCAAGGGGATATGTGCATTATGAAATACTAAGTATTCTGGCTGCATTGAAAAGCCTGTAGATTTTAATACCATGAAAGAATAATAAAGAATTCAAATGCTTTCATTCAGTCACACAGAGTTGTGAGAAATCTGAAGCAGCCCTTTCTCTCCTGGACTGAGCTGGACTCCTGTTATTTATGGATTTTTAAATGGTGAATATATGCTAGACTGTAGTTTGAGAGCTTACTTTTAGCTTCTGTTCCTAGCATCATTGAGACATGACAGAGCTATTAATGCATTTATTGTGTCAACTGAAGCTAATTGTCCTTCAGCCTTATCTATCAGCACATACCCAAAGGCATGTGCTAATTCCACCCTCCCTACGCATTCTTGCTTAAATATTAGCCAGCAGAGAGATGTAACATAACTAACTCTTCATAGCAGTGTTTATTGGGCCTGGAGAAAAATCCTAACAGGAAAGAGAAGCTGTCAGAAAGAGATGTATTTCTCCTACAGGGAGTGAACAAGCTGTAGTGTCCTCGTCCTCAGACAGCACTTTGTAAATGAGCACAGGTCCAAGGCACGATGCGTGAGAACAGAACCAAGCGGGTGCAGTGTAAAACGGCGCTGTCAAGCCTCCTCTTTGTACTGCTCTTTTTTCTTCCAGTGCTGTCAGCTTTTCTCAGTAATGCCATCCATAAGACTTGCACTAGCAGTGACTCACAGTTTAAGGTACCCTTTTTAGTCTCAAATTTCTTGTTCCTTTTTCCCCTCAGGCCACATCTACAGAAGAGCAGTTTGACCAACAGCCAGCACAGTCTCCTTTCGGCTTTCCAGAGCCCTGTCTAGAAGCTGGACCTATTCTTACTCCGACCAAGATTACCCCAGTCCCAAAGCCCAGAACCACACAACCTGGGAAGCCTCAGGAGAGCAGGGGGAGCAGTGAAAGCCAGCCCCCCATCTCCAGCATGGCCGAGGCCATCACACTGCCTCCCCAAAACACCTCCTTTGCCCCAAAGGTGCCACCACGAAGAAAGAAGTCAGCTCCTGCAGCTCTTCATCTGCAAGTTCTCCAGAGCAGCGACAACCCACTTTTTAGTGGGCTAATGTTCAACTCCAACAACAACAATCCTGGGCTCTGCCTTCAGGCTCAGGATGCTCACAGCCCCATGCAGGCCTCTCTCTCAGCTCCTACCTCCTCTACCAGCCCAGAAGACAACACAACTAAGCAGTTGGCGCCAAGCGCCACAGAATTGATGGCCAACCTTCAGCACCCTCCTGTACCAGGCAGCCAGCATGCACAGCTCCCGGATACCAGCTCCCTTGCAGAGAACACCAATCTTTTGGACCTGGATTGTTCCTGCCCTCTTTCTATGCAGGTGGCATCAGCTACTTCTCCAGCACACACCTCAGAAAATCTAAACCACCCCAGCTTGAAGGATTTCAGTCACTGGGTTACATTTAGTGATGATGAAGACAGTAGTGGCCTGTCAGAAGGGTTCAACAAACTGCTTGTCTTAGAGCAAAACAAAAATAGCTTCGTGAAGGCAAATACTGATTTAGAATTGTAAAATTTTGTCCCCTTATTGTTCCTATAGAAATCGTAATTGTAATGCAAAATAAATCTTTGCACAAAGATTTTTATTTAAGGGAATAGATCATCTGTCCAGGCTACATTTCATGTTTAAAGATAAAATTCTGCCCCTGGAGGGACGTGTATAGAGTATATACAACATAACGTTCTCTACAGCTTGTTTGAAAAGTTCTTTATTCTAAGTTATTTCTTTTTATTAATCCATCTTAAGATGTTTTATTTCATTTCAGGTACAAATCATATATAAGAACATGTAATAATGTATGGAAAAAAGACCTTAAGAAAAACCTTTTCCTGTGAAATTTATGTATTAATCCATTTGTGTCATTTGAAATAAAGCACCCTTATCTTAAACAGCTGGACTGCTGCAGTTATTCTGGAACTAACACCCAGAAGGGGAGTAGACACCAGTATAACTACAACAGTAACACTGGCATTTTTCTGCTAGTTACTTTCTGTTGTGCAGTCAAGGCTTAGGCGGTACTTTCTTGTAGATCTCACCTAGCTGTGGTGCTGGCAGGCCCTAGTGCTTGTCTTGTTAAACTCATTCCTGTGTTAAAGTAAGAGGCACACTGTGTGCTGTGATGCTGTGAGGCTGTACAGCAGAACCAGGAGAGGTGGTCAGCAAGAAATACCTGGGTTTACTCCAGCCCAGGCAAGTGAACATGTGTATTACAACAGACCTCTCAAGTGCTGTGCTGTTAATGGCACTGTAATAACACACCTCAGCTGTTCTGAAAGGACTGGGGAGCTACTCAAAACAATGCTCTGACCTAGAAAGACATCAGAGGCATCCCCAGTTGGTTTTCTATCACAGTTCCAAAACTCACCATAGTTTTTGTTCCTAGGAAGCCAATGCCAAAAAACATACTTCACAATGAAATAGCACATGGACAGTGACAGTCCCTTTTTGAAGAAACACTGTAGTCTGCTTATGTATTAACTATGGAACTACGGAGAGTAGCTGAGACCAGCTGATGGCTGAAGTCATTGGCATAATCATGTCTTATGCTAAAGGCAGTTTAGTAATTCAGTAGTTGTGTCCTTGTTTGTTTGCATCCTGTGCTTTGTAGGAAAATGCCATGGCAGTCTTTTATTTCTACAATGCAGATGAGGAAAGAGCTGCTATTGGAACCCAAGTCCATACACATGCGACACAAGCTGTTACATCCTGAAACTAAGGCACAAGCATGTGACTGGGACCAGCAGAACCCCCTTGCAGTGGGGAGCAGTCTCTTGTAGCCTAATTTGCTCACTCATAGTAAAACTCACCTTGAACACCAAACCAGTAGGCAGGTAGGTGGTGGACATGTGTAGAGCTACTGCTCTCGCTGTGTGTGCCTGCTGATCATCAGCTGTGCAGCCTGTTTGTTTTGTACCAGGGAAGGAGCTGCCATGTGCACCCCATTCCCATCCCCCAGCAGCTGCGATAAAGCTGTGCTGCAGCAGGGTATCACTGGACATGAGCTGGGAAGGCTAAGAAATGGAACTAGACATGGGCAACTGCAATCAAGGCTGCATTTAAGCAGCATGTGCACCACTAAAAAGAAGAAAAAGCTGTTGCTCAGGGGCACTGTGCATCTGCAACGGGGGCACACCTTGGAGGCAGCTGCAACACACGAAGACTAACAGGCAGTCACCATCATCTGTTCTGTGCACGTTCTCAAGAACAAAAGGTTTAAATGATGATAATGCGCAATGGTTCATACCACCACAGCAGTGCTAAGGGAAGCAGCCCCTGTTAATCACTGTGGATAACATGCAAGTACTCCTGTGTGCCTGTCCTCCTTCTCCCTCAGGTGCACCTAGTGTTCACTTACTAGGGTGGCTGATTCATGAAGTATTGCTTAGCTCAAAGGGGGCTTTATCTTCATAATGAAGTTCTCTCGCGTTTATTAGCAAGCCAGCAGTCACGCTTCTCAGGAACCCAAGATTTTGGCAAAGATAGATAGATAATCCATGGTGCTATATGTGTCTTACCTGCTCTCGCTGCCTTGCCTGTGCAGTGGAACTGTACCCTGTGGATGCCATTTGTTCAAAGCAGGCAGTTGAAAATGATAAACAGATTGCAGCCTGTCATGGTGACTTCTTAAGAGAAGCATCAAGAACTTTATTATTAAAGGACAGAGACCACTTTTAAGCAGTTGGTGAAGCCAAAAAAAAAAAGCCTTGGTGTTTTTTTTCAGGAAAGATGTATTTTAAAAGTTCAGAATTTGGTGTTCAGAATTAGGATTTTTTTAATATGAAAAACAATTTACTTGTTCTCAGCTTCTTGGAAGCTGGAATTCAGCCATCATCCTCCTTTTTATGCCTACCTGTTTCACTGCCACTGCCAAATTTTGGACACAGAACACCCTGTAAGAGCAACTGCTGCCTTTATCTGAGCACCTGCCATCCTCCTCTGCTCCCTTGTTTGCCAGGCACTTCAAAAAACATCTCCAAATCCTTCAAAGGCCAAACCAACCAAATGCAGTGCTAAGCTTCTTACGTGAGAGCCAGTTCAATGTGGTAGCAGGCTGGTGAATAATGCTGAAGCCAGATAGTTGTTTTCCTACAAGACAACACAGAGCCGTAACCTCTTCGTCCTCTTCATAACAAAAAAAGATACAGTGAATATTTATGGGCACACTTCGGTTTGAAACATCAAGAACAGTAAAAAAGAGTACGTTATATGGCCATAGCCATGTTTTCTGCAAAGATAATTAACAGTTCTAGGACAGCTAATTTACATGTTAATGAAAGAGGTAGCAGGAAAGCCCATTAAACTGGATTTATACAAGTCAAATAAAATCTGTTTTATTACTCTCCTTGAATAAGAGAAGTATCTGGCCTTTAGCATTCTACCTTATGACTATGTATGTGGCCAGCTGCCTCTTAAAGTATGAATCCTGTCTGCTAGCTGGTTTATAGCATCAATGACAGCATACACTGGTCAATCACAGCAAATCAAGGGAAAGGAATGAAAAGCTGAAAAGGTTACAGCAATGAATGAGGAACCTCCTGGCTCTACAGATTATCTTCCATACTGATGCCCAGCACCCTAGCCAAGTGATTTTTTCAGAGGCAGGCACTTGTGACCTGTTCTAGTTTTAATGGTCAGAAGCAAAGCAGGGTCAGACTTGCTCTGTGTTTGGGAAACCTCTACAGCAAACTCAGACCATTCTCATTCACGATTAAGCTTTTTTAGGTGGCTGATCACTGAAGCAAACAAAGAGAACCAGCCCCAAAATATTATTTAGAATTTCCACTCTGACAGACATTTTTGCTTTCTCCTTTTTGTCCAGAATTGCCATTTTCACCTGATGGAAAACTTTCTCCAGTCTAGCTGCTGCCTGGCACCACGAGCAGAAATCAGAGTGAAACCCAGTTTACACTACTGTAATCACAGGAATTAAAAACTTGATGACTGTTGCTACTAGAAATACCAGTACAGTTATACAAGAGGGCTGGACCACAAGTGCAAAAAGATTAATGAACTATTAGCCCTTCCTGCTTTAGTCCTGGATGCCGCAACACAGACAAGATAGATACCATCTTTGCAGGTACATGAGACAACTCACATGTACCTGTCAGCCACACCTGCAAGCTGGTTCCCCAGCTAGGAGAGATAAAGGACATCATTTCAGATCTAAGAACTGACATAAAGGCAATATTCTGATAATGTGACACCAGAGAAGCACAAAAGCTTAAGTTTCTAATGGCAAGCAGATACAAATGCTATGCAACAGACCTTCTGGCCCTCAAACCAATGTCGGTACAGGGTTTAGGAGGCCCTACTGCAAAATCCAAAAGCACAACTGAAAAGCTGTTCATTTTGTCAAACATTGATGACCGACTGCGCCCCCAGTACTACGTCTCTTACCAAAGGTGAAGGGTAAATATGGCCCTCTCCCAGCATGAGACAGTCACTAAAAACCAAAGCATGTCTTTAACAAAAGTGAACATGGTCCAGAGCACTCATTTGGCACATCATTCAACTTTAATATATTTTATGGCATATCTAGTACATTTTTAAAAACACATGTCATTACTATATTAAAAAAAACAACCCCCAACTTCCCCTTAAAATATCAGTTTTAAAAGTTACACACATATATATACACAATTACAAAAAGGAGAAAGTTGCCACAGAGTTACAGTTACAGTTATAAAACATAGATGCATCTAGTGAGACGAACATGTAATGTTACTGACGTGAATCCCTGTAAGCCAAAGAAATCTGTTAAAAATCCATACGAGATCTGTCACACTAAACACACATTCAGTTATTAGAAGTCTTGTCTATTCACAATGAATTCCACATACCCTCTACTTTGTGCATACAAAGTGTTCTAATATATTTACACTCAGTAAATATATTTAAATAATATATTCAAAGCACAGTGTAAAAAAGATAAACCTCTTTAGAAGTTATGACAGTTTTGTTACATTTTCTATCTGAAATACCTCCATGCAGTGTTCTTACCTACATCTTGGTTAGGGGGAAAACATGCTCTTCTTGCCAGCGTGGTGCTCTACTGCTCTGCATTGCTTTTGTGAATTCCACTGTGCAACTCCAGCAGGTCAAAGCTCAACTTCCAGAAGTGTATTTTCAGATCTAGTGTCCTCCTGGGCTGGAGTGCCTTAAAGTAGGAACAGCTGAGGTGGCCTCAGAACCTGGCAGGACTGCAATGGCCACTGGTGCCTGCACCAAGCCCGTGCAGAACTGCAAGGCACATCCCACCTCTCTGGTAGCTTTCACAGCTGTAATTTTAAGGCCAGTAATATTAGATCCATTTCATGTGAGTGATGTTAAGAGACATCTTAAGCCTGTCATCAGTACAGGCCTTATTTAACCAGTGGTCAGCTAGGACAGAGTAGCCTTATCATAGTCTATGTTTGTTTTCAGAAGGTTGAGGGTTAAGTGGAAGAAAGGAAGAGACCACAATAAGACAAGGCTGCTTTTAACTACATTGCAAACTATCTAAGACTTTAAAAGAATGACTGAGTGCTGTCATATTTTCTTTTTGCTTAAAAATACTTTTTATTATCAGTACTGATATGGTATCCTTAAAATAAACATAAACTCAAGTAAGACAACACTGCTGTCTTTTCTCTGTATCTACACTGCTAAACACGCTTGGGCCCCAACAATCCAGAACATCTGGGATCTTCCACATTTCCAGTGGGACTTAAGATCACCTGAATTTATTCCTGCATTACTTTTCTGTACCTGAGCTCCAAATTCTGTGCATTAGTTACTTGTCAGGGCCTATATTTGACTTATTCCACTTGAGCATTTTCCAATGCTCTTCTTTAAATCAGCTGAAGAAGAAGTTTCTAAATGAGTAACATGAGCCAGGGATTTGAATGTGCCATCTTCTCCATATGTCCCAAGAGTAAAGCAAAAGACCTAAACCTTTGTTCTGTATCTTCCACGTGAATAAGCACAGAAATGCTGTGAGTCTGATCAGATACACACTGTTCTAAAGAAAGCAATCTCACAAGTTGCTAAGGTTAAGAGAGAAATGTACAAGGTGAACACTGCTTTTGTTTTCATTAGTACAAACAGATTAAAACAACTGCAGTTGTCTATGCAACCAACCCATCTCTAACAGAAAACAGAAGTCATATTTGCTGACAAATCTGGGTGGTCTATTAAATGAAAAGGAAATTACAAAACCTCCTGTAATTTGGCTACTAGACCAAAATGCTACTTTCCTTGACTTGGATAAGTTTCTTCAGGCGCCAGTCAGACTACTTAACATGTCATGTAAACCAAAGCCACATGCTGCTGCTCCCCTTTGACACAACTAATTACCACCTGTTTCTGATCCTCTCTGTAAGATTTTAGTCCCAGATTACCTTAATGAGAGCACCCACCTCCAGAAAGCTCTTTTTCTATTTGTTCTTGAAAAAGAAGATACCCTGGGCATTTTCCATAGTCAAGCTGAGTTGCTCCAGAGGGATATTTGTAGACTAAGTGCTGGAGAATTTACACACATTTTGTCGACAGATCATGGTCACAAGAGAACACACATTCTCTTTTTGCCAGGTTTATAGGACTTCGGTTTGTATGTGTTTTGAATACATTTTAGAAATAAGTTGGAGAAGTGTCTAAGTTGGAGATGTACTGAAATTACTTTAGCAGCAGATACTATTGAAATAGCATCTTTGTAGTTCTACATATCCCCTAACAAATGTTAGGAGAAGAACTTACTGTGTTATACCAAATGGAGGAAATAAACAGCCAAGGATGGCAAAACATCAGTCTCCAAGTTCTTGAGCTAAAACATCTTGAATGAATTTCAATGTATGTTGGTACAGGAAAGCATCTTTCTTCTTTGGCTTACAAATATTTAGATGATTAACATCCACTGGAATAAGGTCTCCAATTCCTAACTCTGGGAGAGGGAAAAAAAAAAAACAGGAAGAAAAAATTACAGAAGTTAGTAACATCACCTAGACTGAAAAGCACATCTTGCATTAGCAATTCCTCTCTCAAAAGCAGCTTTGCCTATCTTCAATTTAACTGTTTTGTCTTGGTTATTTTCTAATGTGCTAAAAGCATCAATACACACGGTTATAGTCAGACAGAGCTATAGGCTGCTACAAAACCCACAGTGGTAAACCACCAGGTTAGAGTTGAACTGCCTTTATTTGGAGTACACTAATGTACATTTCTCCACATAGACAACTGTGAAGAATCAAAACTTCACTTACCAGCATCTGACTGACAGCTAAGTCCTGACTGAAGTTTAAGCATTGACGTGTACAGGGACAGGGTTTAAATCTAGACGATCAGAATCTGGATACCCACTAATTGCCCACATTCCTTAAAAAAATACTTTGATGTGGAGATTAAATATGGAACTAGAATGAACCTGAAATATGCCACAAATCACTACACGCATTTCAGGGGAAATGGAAAATTTAGATTACTTAATTGTAGAATACAAGTATTTCATTTTCAGCTACTGATTTTGGGGCACACTACGGCTTTCACCTCTACTATCACTATCACTACTAGTGAACTTTCCAGTTAGGATGCCATGACTGCCACATTCCAGTTTATTATCTATTCAGTCAACCTCCTGAGAAATCTTCCATTTTGCTTGGAACTCTATCTTTAACCATGTAGAATAAGACTAGAGCAGGATGAAGGTTTGCCTTCACATGTGCAAGCATGCATGTAAGAAACAGAGAGCATATTGCTTGTCAGCCTGGGTTTTGAACAAAATGAATGGCATGCCACTGAACTGTCATGTGCCCTCCATAGGCTTTTCACAAGAGCTCACGTGCTGCATTGTGTGTCATCTCTAGAAGAGGAGAAACATGTGACAAAATTTTAAGTGCACAGGACCTACTTGTGCGCTCTCTTATCCAGACCTCTTTTTCATTTTATTTTGTTAAAAAGAATGCCCAGTTTTTCAGTCCTTGCCAGTAAAATTGCATCAGCAACATTTTCACAAAAAAGTGCTTCCTGAGAAGACACGCTGACAAAATACTGCTAAATATTGACTCAGGAAAACAGGGATATATAGTCCCTGTTTTTTCAAAGCAATAACCTTGCACCTTGCTGGTGGAAAGCCTGATCTAAAACCCAACAAAGCAATGGTTTCTGTTCAATGCCTTACGGGTACCTTGGGCAGTGCAGAAGATGGTTTTTCTCAGGAAAACCTGAAAATACCAGACTTAAACCAATTCTCTAAGTTGAACACCCATGAACAAAGCACTGTCTGGTTTTCCCTTCTCCAAAAGGCAGAAAGATGGAGGGAACTACTGCTTGAGTACCTGAGGTATGGAAAATAATGGATTCTTAACACCGAAAAACCAGTGTTGTAACTTTTTCCTTCCATTAGCAGTTTGCTAATTTTCTTGCTTTTTCTTTTTAAAGGAGGAAATAACTGAAATTCATGGGAGATTATAAAGCACTATTCAGCTTATCTATACAATAATAAACAATAGTTATTCATAACTACAAAAGAAAGGACAACAACAATGTAACCTTAGACCAGGGTTTTTTCAACAGGTGTTCCTCACACTTAGAAAAATCAAAACAAACAATTGCTATTCTAAGATACAAATGTAGCTGCCTCTGACCTCAGCAGGGAGACTGTAGTTTCAAACAAGCCAAAAGTTTAAAACAAAAACTCTGCAATATAACAGATGCATTTTTTTTCCAGGTCTTCCTACCATAGCATTTCTAATCCTTCCTTGTTAACGATGCTTACATGAATATATACATATAAATTAAATGGCTATTTGACTTACTTGCTGATTCCAGAGGTACAATGTGCAGTTTTATCATACTGTTTATGTGTATTGGTAAGGTTTCTACGAAACTCAGCACTGAAAATTTCTTATCGTTGGCAAGAGACAGGAAGTCATCATTCAACTCTTTCAGGGCAGGAGAATCTGAGAAAGAGCAACATTATTTATGCAGTGTTATCTTGAACGTAAGATTATAGCATTTGTCTAGACTGCATTCCTAGAAATGTTTTGGAAAAATTAGTACTCCAGGAAAAGAAGTACCATTTCGCTTTTAATCCATTCTTCCCAGCTATCATACGCAACACTTTTTTATTTCTGCTTAGCATGGAATTATTTAGAAGGTAAGGGTCTGAAGTCCAGCATATGCTGAATTACTACATTGCTAAATGGCCCATACTACTCTTCTACAAACCAGTTCTGATGCCCTTTTTCCCCCCTCACTTCTGCAATCAAATGAAAGTTACTCAGGATTCAACACCCAACCCAAAACATAAAAAGGTGGGTTTTATCCAGCTTTTTCTGACAGCATGATTTAGAAAAGTAGCTTCCAGAATGGATTAGCATAGACCCCCGTTGTGAAATGGTAGCAAAGCGAGCGTACCCTTGCTGAGCTCTTTAACTTCCGCAGACGGAAAGAGAAGATATCTGGCATTTACAGAATATTCAGCCAGCTGGGAACCATGGTGAGGTACACTATAAAATATGATTCCTCTGGTGTTGTTTACAATTTTCTCCATTTCTGGATTCTTGGAAGCATCCACCAGCATCTTTTTGACTAGAAGACCTGGCAAGAGAAACTGAATTAATGCAGGGATCTAAACCACTGTGAAAATAATGATCATGCTATATTACCCATGAAACAACTAACCATATTCTTGCCTCAGCTGATTAGCCCTTAGTTCGTCAAATATGTAAGATTAAGTTCAAAACAAACCCAAACAAAACCTGAAGAGGCATTAAAATGAAATATCAATGAATGATGCAAATCCATTTTTGGTTTGCTTTAAATGTTGCTAATGGCATTCACTATATGCCTGATCATGGAGAAAATTTTGCCTCTGGGTTCCCATTTACATGAATTTCAACTCATTGATTTTATGTTTTTAAATCAACATAGTAAAAACAAACAGCAACAAAAATCCTTTCAAAATGTATATGCTGATGAATACAATGCATTAAGAAAGAAGAAATCTATTTCTATTTTTAAGTCTTTGCAAATGGTTTTTGATAAACTACTCTGAATAATTGCATTTCATACTGAATTTGTTCAACAGGTTATTCTGAAATATAATAGCAAATAAATACTTTGTATCAAACAGGCAATGTACTTACCACCCATGCTATGTGATACCCACACCAGAGGTCTGTCTCCAATCCCAGCAGTTTTGATCTTGTCAAGAAGCTCATTGCTCCTGTAAGCAATAGACTTTCTGCAAAGAAAAAACAGACAAGCATGATGAATCATAATAGGCTGAAAGACCATGTTAAAACAGAACGAATTTTTCAGTGCTGCACATTTATGAAAGTGAATTAGGTACACAAAGTATTAATTATTTAATTATTGTCGCTACACTAAAAAATGCCAAAAGTTTTGTAAGGTTGGCTTCACAAAGACATCAGGAATTAAGCTATATGCAACTTCATAGAATCATAGAATCATAGAAT